CGAGGGTCCAACCTAATTCCCACCTTCTCCAAAGTCAAGAGCATAATGTGCAGATGAAAAGGTGGAAAATAGCCTGGACTTCATTAGCATGCAGAGCCCGGCTGTTCATTTGCTTGCTGCGAATGGAAGTTCTGACACTCGGCGCCTTCTGCAATATGAGAAAAGTCCTCTTCAGAGTATATGATGTCCTCACCAGCCAGCAAAGGTCATCAAAAAGGCAGGCGCTGACCTTGCTCCCTGCTCTTCATGACTAGTTTATTGATTCCAGGAACACCTCATTACATGCTGGATCAACATATTATTGCCATGTTCAGCGGCTGAATTGTTTACAAGTGTCTTTATAACCAGCAGAAAGCCTTCCGCATGATGCATGACTACACTCATTTGGATGTGACCTGCCAATTAGATGTTATCCGATCTGGTGCCGTGTGTCCTGATCCCTGACCAGGCCCACTGCCCTGCATCAGCACAGGCCCATTTACTACTTCTTTCGAACAGCTCTTTGGCAAAGTGTCCATTAGCCTGTCAGTCTGTAAATATTTTATTTTTTTACCTCGGCAGCAGTGGAGGCGCCACCGGCGCTCCCACTCTGTCATTTGCTATGCATGAAGTTGATAATCAGCTGGGGGAGGCAAGGGGGTGTTTTATGGCAGCGTCTGATGGCCCACCCCATTTGCAGTCAGCATGCGTGGCCCGTGCTCCTGCACCGCGTGCCACCCCACCACAGGGACCCGGCATATTTTATTCTGGCGCCAGCACCATGAGACTGCTGATTTATCGGTCGGGGGAAGGCAGGAGCGAACCCCTCCTGTGCTCAGCCTCCCCCTGCCCTGCCTCCAAAGGCCCCATAACTTACCACCCAGCAAATGCCTTCCCCCTTCTCCATCTTTCCGGTGCTTTGTGTTCTCCCTCATTAATATATTGCACTACGTTATTTATCCCAGCCCGCAGCCTGGGGTATTTACACATGCAGAGGCGTGAGAACTTCAAAAATAAATCACAGGGCACGACTACTATTTTAACCTCTCATTACAGACACTTCTGTGGCTCCATTAAAAAAAGAGTGGTGCAGCAGATCAACGAGCGAGTTCGTAAAGAGAGATCTGTGCCAAAAAGCAGTGCTGGGATCATAGCTTCCAGGCACCAGAAGTCCGCACAGGCTGGAGTTTTGATTTTTTCACCTCAGCCTTTGGTAGTGGTAGGGTAGCTGAGATGCCAAAGGAAACTCCATGCAGCCATGGATGTAGCCGATGTGGCAGTGCCAGGATGTCCATGGGGGCTGTGGCCTAGCTGGAATGTGATAAAATGTTCACACACATGGCACTCTGCCCAGAGCTCTGCAAACATTAATCAAATTTCCCAGTGCCCCTTGGCAAGTGTCAGTGCTGAAATCCCCTCGCTGGGGTTAAATCCAGGGACCAGAAGGGCTAAAGGGCTCCAAGGGTGAACCCACAGCCCCAAAAACGCCACATCTCCAGCATCCTCTCTCCAGAGCCAGCAGGGCATCTCCCCAATCCCAAAACCCACCGTGCCAGGCCCTGGGCTGCTGAACCACAGGAATGTGTCAGGAGGGAGAAATGTCCATGCTGGGAGCTGAGGATTCCATTGCCTCCTTACTACACGAAGCGTTGGGAACTGGGGGCTGGAAAAGGGGGATTTGAATTCCTTCAAACAGCACAATTAGCTTCCAAAATAAAAACTGGAATGTGTTTGTTTAATTTGAGCTGAGGCAAAATACACACTCAGGTCAAGCCAGCCTTAGGCTCCAGAGACAGCACAGTGCATTGATCTGAATTTTGAAAGGAGCGGGGAAAGCTTCCATTTCGTAGCAAATCCCTGGCTCTGGGCAGCCCTGGAGCTGCTGGTGCTGAATATTCAGAGGGCTGATTCCCCACGGTGAGCTTGGCCAGCGCTGCAGCCAGGTAACAGCACAGTCTGGCACAGCAGGAATGGAGCCTGAGAGCTCCAAATCCCAAATGTGGGATCTCCACCTGGATGCAGGGATCTCCCTCCCCCGGGGGAGGTACCAGGTCTGGCCTGTCCCACAATCCAGTGAGGGGTCCGGCCTTATTTTTGCTGTTTTAAGCCTGCAATGGTTTATCAAGCCCCAGACATCCCTCCCAGTTTGGCACCTCATCCCTTCACTTCTGTTTGTGTCCCTGTTACTGGATTTCTGTTCATTATGTAAATTCTCCTTTTAAATGGAAGGAAAAAATCAGCTCTTTATGACAGCAGACATGAAAGTTGTATTACTATGGAGAAGTGCACTAACCTTTCCTTTAACTTGGAGAACTTAATAATCTTTTAAAAATCAACTTTTTATTAATTTTGGAATGATGCTTAATGCTTGAGGGGAGTGAGGAGCAGTGGCATTGCCAGTGGAGCTCTTTGCCACTCTTAACTTAAGGTCAGGCTTGCAAGTGCTGCAGGAACCAGGGCCCATGCAGACATGGAATCATGGAATTGTGAATGTTGGAAAAGCCCTCTGAGATCACGGAGTACAAGCATTCCTCTAGCGCTGCCAAGGCCACCACTAAATGGTGTCCCCAGGTGCCACGCCCACATATCTTTTAAACCCCTCCAGGGATGGGGACTCAACCACGGCCCAGCTCCACGGCAGGAGCAGCCAAGCACCACGTCTTCTCATACAGCCCATGGGAGTGAATTAAACTGGTGGTGCTTGGCCAGCCTGGAGCTGGACTTCTGCATCCATGGGAGCCACTTCAATTTTATTGTAAGACTGGGTTTCCCTGGGAGAAAATCAGGATGTCCTTCCTGGGCTGAAATTTGGATTTAGTAGGGCAACTGTCAGCCATTCTCCCTGGGGCAAGGAGACAGCCAGGAGAACCCAGCCCCTTTCCAGGGTGTTGTTTAGGGAAGGAAGCAGCTGAAGGGCTGTAAATGCTGCACCCAGTGAGAGCAGTTCATGGGGACACAGACCTTACATGGATCCACCTGGAGCCTAGGATGAAGGACAGAGCCCAGCCCCACGGCACATGCGAGCCTCTCCAGGTGGTGGGCACACACTGGGCAGGATGGGCTCTTATTAGTTACTATTAATAACTTATTTCACATATCGTTCTTGATGGGATTTTGTCGCAAAGGGCTGCTGATATTTTAGGGATATGCAAGGCGAATCTCTGTCAATGCAGCCAAATCCCTGGGCCGGGGCTCCGAAGCCGCCGGCACAGCCCTCGCCAAGTGCTTCCAAACTGAATAGTCATTGGTTTGGCAGATAATTCAGAAACTATTTGTATGAGCTGTTTATCAAGTTATTAACTGCACAGATGTTGTTTGGTTGAAGAGCAGCTGAACCTTCTCTCTGCCAGCCAGGGAGACAAAGGTCTGCAGGAATAATTGGAGATGTGCATGGAATATTAAATTAATTTACTGCTCTTAATTCTTATGCAAATCCTGACCTCTGATAGAGCCTATCAATTACCCTGCACACAGGGAAAATAAAGGAGAACAGTTTCTTTCTTTTCTTTCCCCCTCTCCTTTTTTTCCTGTTGTTCTCCAGTTTGGGGTTTTGTTTCTCTGTTGTTGTTGGTTTTTGGTTTTTTTTTTTTTTTCCTTTTGAAAGGGAACTTGGGAAAGGAAATATTTGTGTGAGGAAAAAAAGCCATTTATTTGTGGTGCAAAGGGCCAGGATTATTTAATTGAATGTCCCAGTTGCAGTGATGTCCCCTGGGAGACAGGGTGCAGTTTTTAACATTGTAGGGTGCTCAGGGGAGGCCTGGGAATGTAGGCCAGAGCCGGGCTGGAATAGCTCCACATGCTTCCCCAGGAGGGGCCCCACTCTGCCAGCACCATGGTGGGCTGAAGTGGGAAAGGACTGGAGACCCGGGCTGATCCCAGCCAGGTTTTTGATGGGGCTGGGGGCAGGAAGGGGCCTCTGGCTCTGCTGGAATCCAGTCGGGGTTCAGGTGGGTTATCAGGGAGGGCTTCCTGCCCCGATAACAGGGCTGATTCTGCCAGTAATTACCAGGAAAGAAAAAAGGGAATTTGTTGTGAGATCCCAGGTAAAATGAAGCAGGATTTAATTGGTCCTCGTTAAACAGAGCTGGGTTTCCAATATGGAGAAAGGCCATTTAATTGAGGCTGTGTGTGCGCTGCTCAGCCGGTGCTAAAAGACAGACGCCGGGCCCTGTTCTTTCATCCCATTTTCTAATAAGGATAAATAAACAGGATGAATAATGCCATCGGTCTCTCCCTCGACCCCTGTAAGACCCCAGCAATGCAGAGATGTTCACCCTAAAGCTGCTGCCTGGGATCCATTAATCCAACGGGAGCAGGATCCCTCGGCACGGAGCGCCCAGTGCGGCACCGGTGGGCACCGTTAGCAGAACCCCCAGGTCCAGCTATGGAGCAGTTTGGGGAATTCTTTGGTTAGTGGCTTTCAGAGGGGAGCCTGAGGACAGGATGGGGCTCAGGGGACAGGAGGGGAAAGGAGGGAGAAAAGAATGGAAAATAAAATTATGTCTTTCCTTTCTATTTTCCTTTTCTATTTTTTCCCCCCGGTAAATCCTGGGAAGCGCAGTGAGACTATACTCCCCCTCCCACGCCGCCCACTCGGGTAATTTCATTTATCCTGCAAATCTAATTAGCAATCCGTGGCTGACATTAATACAGATCTAATGAGGCCGGCGATGACCAGATTATCAGGCGAGCACTGACAGAACCTTAAAGGCACATCAAGCCCTGCAGTCAGTGGGACCCAGCAGGGGAAAAACTGCTTTAAAGCGGGAGAAGGAAAAAAAAAAAAAGGAGGAAAGAAAGAAAAAAATAGATGAGGGAGGGGGGGAAAAACATGAGGAAAAGTGGTAAGGATAGGGCTTGGCTGCTTAGCTTATTAGGAGAGCTGGAGCTTTACTGGACACAGTTTATCGACCAGCATCGGGCCTCCGTCCCTGCTTCTCCCGAAATATTGTTCTGCACAGGAGAAAAAAGGAGGGGGGGGAAATAAGGGGAAAAAAAATAAGAAGAAGCTGGAGCCCAAGGAGTCGCTGTGCAATTTATTCCAAGGGGTGGCTGTTGAGAAGGCGGCAATTTGTGGAGGCCGGGGGTTATTTAGTGCGATATGAAATCAAATGATCCTATTGCTCAAATAACAGTGTCTGGGAGGAGAAGCGAGCGCTCCAAAGGTAATTGTCTCCAGATGATATTCCTATTATCCCCCAATCCCGGCCTAAACGCTGCCAGAGCCGGACTGGAATTGATACGGGGGAAGGACCGGGGGGATCCCGGGGCCGGGGAGAGGCATCCCCGGCACTGACTCCCCTCGGGAAGAGCGGCAGGGCTTCGGCAAGACGCTAAATTCCTGTGGCTGCTGCCTGTCCGTGCCTCGGCGGGAGCGGCAACACCGGCGGGGGGCCGAGCCCGAAGCCCAGGTAAGGGACCTACGGGGGAACAGGGAGTGGGAACCGGGCCCTTCCGTGCCCCGGTGGGCAGCCGCTCTCCGAGCGGACCCTTCTGCATCGCTTCACCCTAGCCTAGACTATCGGGTCCGGTGCGACCTCCCGCGGCCTCGGTCCTGCCCCGCCGCGCTCGGTGCCCGCCGCGCTCGGTGCCCGCCGCGCTCGGTGCCCGCCGCGCTCGGTCCCGCCGCGCTCGGTCCCGCCGCCCGCGGTCGGTTCCGTTTGCCCGGAGCCGCCGGAAGCGCAGCCAGACAAGGGGCGTTTTCACTCTGGATCCCCGGGTAGCGGATGGAGCGGCGGCCCCCGCTCTCCGCGGCGCTGCCCGATAGTAAAATCGCCGGAATTCTATGGCTTGAGGGAAACGACGGGGAAAAATCCAAGGCGACGGAAGGCGGTGAAGGGGAGACGGAAGCGAACCGGCGGCACCTACCAGGGCGGGGGTCCCCGAGGCGGGGTCCGGGCTCGCTCCGTAGCCGCTGCGGCGGCGGTGACCGAGCGCTTCTGGTGCGGCAGCCCAAGGCGAGCGGCGGCCCCGCAGCTACTTCCCAAATTCCATCGAGGCGTTCCCCGCGCTGCCCGTGGGGTGGCCGAGGTTCCGCCCGGAGCTGCGGGTACTGGGACGAGGCTTTTCCCGTTTCCGGGAGGGCAGCGCGTCCCCGGCGCTTCGGGTATAGAGAGCAAACGCGCTCCTCCTGCAAAAGAAATAATGCGAGTATTGAGGGAGCGAGGCTCCGGGCTGGAGCGCTCAGGAGTGTCCCGGCTCGGGCAGCTCTGTGCTCCTGGTGGCCGGGGTTTGCCCTGGACCCGTAACAGCGGGAGGTGGCTGTGCTGAACTAGCGAGGACACGGCGGAGAGCAGCAGGAGGAGAATGCTCGGGGTCAGGCGCCTCACTCGGGTCACGTCCTGACGAGAACAGGACACAGGTCACCACCCGGGCCGCCAGGAGAGGCTGGTGTGGTTTGTGTGTCTGCAAACGGGCAAAGCATTTGGAACCTGAAGACTGGAAGTGAACCCCAGCCTTTGCCCACCTGTGTGTCCGCCCCTTGCTGCCTCGCAGGTACGTTAGAAACGCATTTTTGAGCACTGTCAAAATGGGCTGTTGGAGGATTTTTCCATCTCTGCTCAAGCCTTTTTGTCGGCTTCAGCCTCAGGTTCCTATTTCTGTTTGGCATGTTCTGAATGGAGTGCAGGGCCCAGGGGTGCTGAGCTCCAAGCAGACACAGCTTAATTAATTGAATAGTCTCTTGCTTGTTCTCCCGCTTTTTACAAACAAATGAAAGTTGATATGTGTGGTTCCTTTCATCCACCATCAGAACAATTCTCTGCGCAGGACAGGGAAAATGCCTAATCAGTCACAGCAAACCAGCACAGTGGTTTGGGGTGGGAAGTGAAAAAATACCATGTCCGCTCAAACCTAGATTTCACAGCACTGTAGGACTGGGAGAGGCAAGTGCAGGACTTGCCCCAGGTGAGACCTGGGCTGGCTGCACAGACAGCACTTCCTCAAAGGCAAGCCACCTTCCCCAGCGCTCCCAGGTCCAGGCACTCAGCTCCAGACCTCTGGCAGAAGTGAGACTGGAACAGAGGCAGCAACCAAGCCATGCCTAGGCAGGAACTTGTGGTCCCCTACAGTGTGAGCTCAGAGCTCCATGCTTGCTCTCCTCCCACACGGCCCTTTTGCTGATCCACTCACTTTTATTTTCCAGAGTCGCTGCTGACCTGCAGGTGTTCCTGATGAGACACAGATGTGGTGGGCAGTGTTTGAATGCTGGGGTGTGAGGAGGCCAGGGATCCTCCAGGGACCCTGTGTTTGCCTGTGTGTCTGTCCCAAGAGCCGTGCCCCACTGCCCATGTTGCCAGATCCTAGTTCCTGGCCCCACAAACCACACGGCTCACCCAAGTGCCTCCCTTTGTTTCAAAGTCTTGAAGCCTGGAGCACTTGTTGAACCTGACAACGAGTGCATCAAAGTGGATGACAATTAGGAAATAAATATCATTTGAGGCATTTTTGGGCAGAATCCAGTCGTACCTAGATGGGCTCATTGCTGTTGTTATCATATTGAATATTCCTCGTAGCTGGGATATTTGTGCTGTGCAGCAGCATCCGTGGCACTGCAAACATTGCATTATCTCACTGTGCAAAGGCTTCATTAATCAAACCAGACAATGGGCCAGACACATCCCTTTGAGCTGGGATCATCTGGGCTTTTCACCTTGTCTAAACGCTTCATACCTGTCAATGCAGGCAGCAGCTCTTTAAAACCGATTACTCTGAACTGTGTGAGTGACAGGAAAATGTCTAATTCAGTTAAAAGAATTCCCCAGTTATTTTGTATTCTCCCTTTAATTTTTCAGGGTGGCTTGTAGAAGCTAAACTTTATTTCAGTCTTTCCATCTGTAGATGAAATCAATCCAGTCATTTGTCAAAATACTAATGGAAGAGCCTGATAGATTTGTGTCCTTTAAAGCAGCAGCAGCAGCAGTAGCAAGCACTGAGATCAAGCAGGATGGAGTGACCTGGCCAAGCCGTGACCCTGCTGGCAGGAGCTGCAGAGTGGACAGCAGAGGGAACAGCTTCATCACGAAGGTGCTGTTCTCCTGAAAGAGGATCCTGTCAAAAACATGGCTTGGTGCAGGGGATGGCATGCCGAAGGCGAGGTGGGACCTTGTGTGCTGGGAACAAGTATGGGTGCAGTGTCCCCTTTTCCGCACTGCAGCACTGCGTGCTCCAGGCGCAGAGCTGGTAGTCAGGCACAGGAAGTCCCGAGAGACCCTGGAGGGATGGTCTCCATCCCACATCTGTGAGGAGGGGAACTCGTGGTGCCTGTGGCAGGCTTTGCCTTGTGCTGGGTTCTGCCTCCTCAGGTCAGGCTGCAGCTGAGCAGGACCCTGGTCCCCCCAGTCATGGGACCCCAACAGGCACTTGTGGCACTGAGCTTGGCTATGTGTTGTGAGCCATTTCTCCCACTTGCAGTCTGGTCACTGCAGGCCTGAAGGACATACTCGAAAATGAGCCAAAATACCCTCTTCTGAACAGAAATACACTAGAGCTGGTTCAGCTTGGGGAACAGGAGCTATGGCACAGGGCGCTCACGAGTGTGAGGTGTAGATGCTTTCAGGGAAGATGAGAGTTGGGCCCTTTGGCTGTGAGTGGTTGGGTTTGAATACAGCCTCTGGGATCACATCTCAGAAGGCCTGAATTCAGTTCTCATTTTTCCAGGGATGGGGAAATTCAACATTGTCTATCTCCTCTTTCCTCTTCAGACAGCAATAGACACTTGAATGGAGACTCCTCATGTTTACAGCCTGGTCACACAAGCGACTGAGACCCGAAATCTCTCATTCATGCTATACCTGCTTCCTTCTGCTCATGGAGCCTTCTATTCTGCACAGGACACTGGAAAAGTACTTGGAGAGGGTGGAGAAGGAAGGGAGCTTCCTGGAAAATGGTCTCTAAACGAAGCCCTTCCCTGTGCCGTGGCTTTTCTGGGGCTCATTAATATCAGTGGTATGTGCTTATAGCTCAATTCTCCAGGATTAATTAAAAATCCACGGACAGTGACATGCCTAGGGGCTTTTCAATTATGTAACTTGGCTTTGGCTAAGGCACTTAGATTTGTAATAAACATGACGTGCTTTTAACTGCTGCAGTCTCCAGGTTTTTGTGTACTCAGCCATTGTGTTCTGCATTCCAGGTTCCTGCTGGAGGAATTCTGTCACCTTCCCCAAGGCAGCAGATCTGAGGCCAGACATGGTGTGTGCTGCTTGTGCATCAGACACAAGTAATAACAAGTTTTGAGGAACTGTACCACTTAATAAAAGCATTTTACTACATTTAAATGTATTAAAATGTGAGCATTAAATTCAACGTGCTAATTACTGTTCCCAGGCATTGCCACAGACAGGAAATGGATCCTCACAATTGCTCTGCTGAGATCGCTCACTGCTGTTACTGCTCTTTGGTTCCTGGTGTGCTATTAGTGCTCTGCATTTGGGACTTAAGTCATTAACAAAAAGGCCTCGTATTGGGCATTATGTAAATTCTATATGCTTCCACACAGCTACTGGGGCCTGTACTATATGTCTCATTGACAAAAAGAAAAGCAAATGCATTTGGCTCCTCCCTGGCTTGTGGGTGAGGGATCTAAGGGGTCCTAGGCACAGAGAGGGAAAACCTCTTCCTAACACATCTCTGTGTTTCTGCAAATCCCTTTCCAAGGCAATTTGTCCCCCTGCAGCTTGCCACATGTCCCATGACACCTTACCATGGACGCCAACAATTCCTGCTCTTTAAGGAGTTTCCCACTTTTCTGGGAGCGAGGGGCTTCCCATCCCTGCAGCAGGCATGTGCAGCACGTGGATCCATTGCCCTGGAAAACTGGGAAAGCCTACCAGGGGTCTCTGGTAGGTGAGAGGCCTGTGGCCAAGTGCTCAGCTCTGTGAGGCCAATCCCGCACCTTCTGGGATATGGTTACAACCCAGAGGAAAGGGGGATGCTAAAGGACACGTGGCTGCCTTCCTAAATGAAAAAGAGTGTAAAGCTGTTCAGATTAGTGCACATCAATCCCTGCGCTAGAATCAAGAGATGCTTTGGTTTGGCAGCACTGGGGACAAAGCCACCATTTCATTCAAAGTGTATTTAATGTGACAAAAGGAGGCAGCTTCCTTTGACAGTTTTACAGCTCTTATCAGATTACATCAAAATTAAATTAAAACAATTTGAAAGAAGTGTGAAGTACTGCAGGGAGAACACAAACAAAACACTCCTCTTTGTAGGCTTTCAGGGAAGAGACCACAGTCCTTATCAGGGATCGGAGGATGGAGATTATTCTTGAGTCAGTTCTGAGCCCAGCGGCTGCAGTGAACACCGAGACACAAACGAAGTGGGAAATACATCGGGAGGACCAGGATAAGGTTCTTTATTTCCTTGTTTTTTGTTAAATAAATCGCAGAATGCTGAGCACTGCTGTGATTCAACACCCTCAAGCTCTAGCTCGAGCTCCATAGTGAAAAAAACCTCCCAGGGCTGCCCAGGAGACAAACTGTGCAGCCCGATGGGTCAGGGACCATCAGCCCCTTTCCACCAAACCCTCAAAACTGGAATAAGGCTTCCAGATTTTTCAGTTTGGGAAAAAGGCTTCCAGTAGGCTCAGGATTTGAGACCGTGCTGGAAGTGCTTGGAAGTTTTGCAGTGTTTTAGGTGCTCTTTTAGCGAGCACAAATATTTCCAAAAGCAGGCCCAGATTTTACCTGTGGGCTCTTGTGAAGGTGTGAAGGAGACACCCAAAACACATCTTTGCTTTCAGTAAACAGAAGAAAGGGGGAGAACAGTCTTCATGACAAATGCTTTTTATGGAAATGCAGTACTAAAAGGCTCCCAAATCCTCTGCCGGGTATTCCTAGAGTGGGAAGGCTCTGACTCAAGCCAATGTTCTCCACACTTTGTTGAGCTGGGTATTTAGATGGACATACAGGGTCTGAGCCAGGCTAATCTGGGGGCAGTTGGGTGCCACTACATCCATTCTGGAGCTGAGCTGGAGGCTGCAGGTGTTGGAAACACCAGGAATGCTGCTGGATCACCAAATCCTGTCGAGGAACCCCAAAAAGCTCCTGATCCCCCCAAGGCCAGGGCATGTCCCCAGATGGAGCCTGCAGCTCCAGCTGAGCTTTCATGTGTCTGTTCTTGGACAAAAGTTCTTACGAAGCGTAATTACTGTGATGATCTCACACTAATTGTACACTGATTGCCATCCTAATTATGCTTAAGCATTTCACTGCTCTCTGCAATTTTGTCTATTGATGTATCGCTTCTCCTTCATTTCACTTATTCCCATGGTATTCAGATTTTATTGGGGCCCTGGAATTTAAGCGCTCATTTGGCAACTTCCTTTCAAAGAGATTGAAGTTTTTATTTGGAAATGAAAGGCGGGTGTTCTGTTTTCATTCTCCAGCTGCAGATGTGGATGCAGGGCTGGAGATGGCTGTGGCTGACTGCAGCTCCTCCCATATGAATTTTGGAGATGTGACAGCACCAGAGGGACACAGTGGCATTCCAGAGGACGAGGAAATCAGGGTTTTGTTAACTTGAAAACCATGGTGTGTACAATAAACTCGGCAAAGGCAACTGTAGTTGTTCAGCAGGTCCCAGATATTTTTTGGACTGGCGCTTTGCACATTCCCCCGTTTCCAGCGACATGGATCCTGCGTAGCCCCAGGTATATATAATTATTTTAAAAAATCAAAACAGAACAAAAAATAATT